GCAAGGCACAGCAGCACCCGGCGGCCTTATTTAGCTCTCTGAAACCTATAAATCAAATGCATCGCTGCGCAATTTAAAAAGAACTAAAAAAATAAACCATCGTATGCTTTCCACCTGTTAAGTCCTGTAGCAGTGTGGAGCCCAGATCTGCTTAAGAGATGCCTGCATATAGGTCTGTATACAGATGCCTGTATATATGATTACTTCACACATAAAACATAGTATAGAGAAAGATAGTGGAATGACGACACGGGGTACAGCACCCGCTCCAAAAGACAGCCAGGCTACGCTCCATCCCGGGCAGACCAGCTAACGCGAGTCCTCTAGCCAACGTCTCGACCGCAGAGCCACCAGCCAGCAATTTTAGTGAGCGGGAGGGAGAAACCAGATTCAGCACGGACATTTCACGGCGCAGGATCAAAAGTCGTGTTGTCGAGGCAGCTGCCAAGCACTCTGCGCACCCCTGCGTACACCAGCACTCCCAGGGACCGTCACTGCATCCATCCCCATTGCCCCGAGCCCACCACGCTGGGGCCAGACCCTGCCTCCCCTACGCTGAGCTAGGGGTCCCTCCGGCAGCGCCTACATCCACACGGCTCCAGCACGGCATCCACCTCGGCGACAGCAAGGGGGTACCAGTGCCAGCCCGGCGAAGGGGAGCACGGTTTGGGGGTGCTTTTCCAGGCCCCCTGCACACTTGCCCCACTAGACCAGACAATGCAACCCTCATTCCTCGTGTCCTGGGATTAAAACAGAGCTGCTTTTTCTTTTTTCTTGTCTTTCTCAGAAAAGGAATCCATTTTTCTCTTTAGATCTATATTTTTGTACATTTGTTAAATCCCAAACTTCCCCTTCAAAAGGCGCTGGGCAAAATACAGGCAACAAACGATGCCATCACAAGAAGACGACAGAACAACTGGAAGGCTTTACAGAAATCAAAAAAAGGAAAAGGAAAAAAAAGAAGTATTAAATCCATTACACTAGGAACAGCAAGAGACAGTATCACAGCAGTACGTGCTTTAATAAAGTAAAGAGATGCTGCAACATGCAGTATTTGTCAAACTGACAACATATACGGACCCCTAAGGGGGGGAACAGGGGGGACCTGGAGTCCGGATTTTGAAGACAATGCACATAAAACATTTCATAAACCTGTGATTCCCACCAAAAAAACCCAAAAAACAAAAGCCCATGGGAGAAGGCAGGGAGCTCCCAGCTGCAGCCTCCAATCG